CCTCTAAAGAGATAGAAGCAGAAATGAGAAAAACAGCTCAAATTTGTCTTAAAACCGGTCATAACTTTAAAACGAGTGAAAATTGCAAACCTACTATCAAGACGTTTTTTTTGGCACGTCGCAATAACTGTCTTTTGTCAATTAGTTTGATCAAAAATTTCTTACCTCAAAAGAGATAGAAGCAAAAATCATAAAACCAGCTGAAATTTTGCCAAAAAGAGCTTATGACTCGTAAACCAATGAAAAACTTTTGACGCCTTTAAAAAATGTTTGGTAAAACCTCTCAAGAACTATCTTTCGTCTATGAGGTTTGATGCAAAATTCCCAACCCCTAAACAGATGTAAAACCGCTCATAACTCGAAGAGGATTGAAAATACCTGAAGTACTTTCAAGATCTTTTCGAAAGCACATCCGACAGACAAGCTTTTCGCGATTATTTTGACCAAAAATTCCTAACCTCTGAAGAGATAGAAACAAACATCGTAAAACTAGCTCAAATTTGCCTTAAAACAGCCCATAACTCGAAAACCAGAGAAAATACCCGTGGTGTCTTTAAAACATTTTCGATCAAGGTGCGAAAACTTTGTATTATAGGTTTGATAAATAATTCCTCACCTTTATAGAAAGAGAAGTAAAAATCAGAAAACTAGTTGGAATTTGGTTTAAAATAGGTTATAACTTGGACACGGGTGAAAATTCCAGATGCACTTTTAGGACATTTTTGTTAGTACGTTTAGACAACTATCTCTTGCCATTTAGTTAGATCAAAAATTCCTAACCTCTAAAGAAATCGAAGCAAAAACGGGTAAACTCGCTCAAATTTGTCCCACTATCGCTCATAACTTGAAAACGGGTGAAAAAAGCATACGTACTTTCAACCATTTTTTGTTAACAGGTCTTGATAACCGTCTTTTGCTGATTAGTTTGATCAGAAATTCCTAACCTCTAAAGAGATAGAACCAAAAATGGGAAAACCTGCTCACATTTGCCATAAAACAGGTCATAACTAGTAAACCAATGAAAAACTTTTGACGCCTTTAAAAAATGTTTATAAAACCTCTCAAGAACTACCTTTCATCTATTAGGTTTGATGCAAAATTCCTAACCCTTAAACAGATCAGCTCAAATTTGACCTAAAACCACCCATAACTCATAAACGAATGGAAAACTGTTTAAATTTTTTGCATATTAGGTTTGATGAAAAATTCCTAACTTCTAAAGAGATAGAAGCAAAAATTGGATAACTAGCTCAAACTTGGGTAAAAGGAGCTCTCGATTTCGAAACGGGCAAAAAGCCTTAGCTGTTTTCAAGAGCTTTTGGCAATCTATCTTTTGTCTCACTAAGCCTCACAGAAGCAAAAACCATCTCTTTTTCAACCTTTCAAGCTCAGCTCGCATTCAACTTTTTCCATTAATATAACGAAAGCGGTCGAAACTACTTGAATATTCTTTAAAACTTTCTGTGCTAGTTTTTCCAAACTCATGTCTAAATCATCCTCTCAACATATCGAATCAGAATGTTGAAGAAATAGGGCTCTTGAGGCACGAAAAACGCCAGTAAAACACATAAACTTTACACCACAAAAATAATTGTTCATCTTCAATAGCGAATCTGCTGTGTGCTCCTGTCCACAAATTGCTTAGAAATCTTGTAAAAAAACATCCAACCGATGAAATACAAAAAAAATATAACAGTTTTTTTTCTTGAAGAACTCAGATGTAAAAGAGACATTAACAATTTTCCAAAAGTTATAGCGCACTTTTACTCGACAATATTTTTCTAATGTACAGTGAAGGAGAAACGGTCAACATCTGGAGGAACACTAAGGTGCTTCCTTAGAGGAAAATAATTCTACAGAAGAACGAAAGGAAGAATGTCTTGAAATCAATTTACAATCTATAAAAGAAGGAAGAATCATCCACTGAAGGTATGAAGCAAATAATGTGATGTAGATGTGAAGAAAAAGTAAAGAAAGAACCGCACATTTTAAATGATCCAGAATTGGTTTTCTTGTTGCCAATTTTCGCAACTTTTCCTATACTGAATCGGTAATTTTCCTGCAATTAATTGAAATTGCACGTGCATTCAGCGAGTGATTTCAATATATCAAGTAAAAACGACGAAAAATAAAAGAAATCTGGGTCAATGGAAAGTTATGACAGTGCACACAATTTGATGCAGAACTGGCTCGAATCAAGCGACTCGTGGTGCAACACTGGTGGAAAATTGAAGATTTTTACGACAACCAACACATTAAACTCGAATTTCCGATAATAAAACTGCGCCCGCTCAAGGCGAGTGAAGTAAAGACAAAAAAACATCAAGAACACAGACTTAACTAGCGCTTTCCGGTATAGCGATTAGCCTAGGCGATTTGCAAGAAACTTTTACTTTCGCACCTATATTCCTGAAACCTGTATCTTCAAGGTTGGTTTGCCCATAACAACAAGTCGCTCTTTGCCTATGGGTAGCGAATTATTTAAACAATCCGACTTGCAGCAGTTAATGCAGGCAAAGAATCAAGGCCTTTCTTCAGATGTTGCTCTAATTTGATGGTGGAAACATGTTGAAGAAAGTTGGAACACAAAATGGGACAAAATGAGAAGCAGTTTCAGTAGAAATTTCCAAGTATCTTCAGTTACATTTCCAATTTCTCCTAAGCCAGAAAGTTGAAGGAGAAGAAAATACCCCACACTGTTTTTCAATTGGTGAAGGTTAAACACGACTTAACTTCACGAAGAGGTACAAACCATTTCTTCGTGAAGATGCTTCAAGTTTACATTCAAGATGCAAGTAACGGTTCTTTTATTTTTTCTTCACTAACGTTGCATAGTTTCGAACCATATAATCTTTCTTCAATATCTTCGTAGATATTGAAGATCTCAGGTGGTAAAGTTCAATTTAGTGAAGACTTCTGGTCTCAAAATAGGTGATTAACAACTTCTGAGTCAGGAAATTAAAACAGAAGACATTTTTCCCAGAGTCATCTTCAATAGAAGTTTCTTATTAAGAGAAGAATCCTAAATGTGAAGATTAATGAATGAGTTCTTCGAAAGTAGCTGTGAAATAAGAAGGTATTGAGCAATTTGCTTGTGAGGAAAATCTAAAAAGTGGAAAAACCATGGAATTGGAGCGTTCGTTTTTAATTGAGTTCGAATGATTTGATGATGAAGACTGTCGTCTGTCTTCGACCAAATGGAAGAAGGAGCACAAGATTGAATCTTTGTTATGTTGCAAACCAAATACTTTCTGCTGAATAGATATGGATGATGAGTTGGGAATAAAACGATCTTTTTTGCAACGTTTCTTTTCACTTCTTCTAAGTCAAGAAGATAAAATACAAAAAACTTTTCACTAAATGTTTCCCATTGGAAAAACAGCCCTTAACTTGGAGTGGATTTATTGATTTTTTCAAAAGAAGCTACGGCAAATTTCTTTGCGGATAAGTAGAACGTTCCAATGTTGGGTTAAAGGTGCCAAAAAAGTGGAGCGTTCATTTCTTATTGAATTCAAATGGTCAATAATTGAAACTAACTGTATTTTATTGAATGTATCGTCAACAAGTCGGAAGAAGTAGATGAAGATTTATTGTATCTTATGTGCAGAGATATTTGGACTCTCAGGTGGCAAAGTTCGATTTTTCAACAAAATGATCTTCAGTTCTGATGTTTCTTTTGATCCCTTCCAAAAAAAAGTATCCCGGACTGTCCTTCAATGAAGGTTTTCCATTCAATGAGAATTGAGGGATGCTGAAGATGGATTGATTTCAGCTCAAGAAGCTGCAAATTGGGAAGATAGTTACCAGTTCTCCCTGCTTTGTGAAAAAGAAGCAGAAGATTTCCAGTTAGGTCCAAGAAGGAAAAAATGTCATACGTTCAAGCCTGTAGATGTATGGATTTGAACCACTAAAGCGTTCATTTAAACGAATCCAAATAATCAAAGAAGAGCAGTAGTTCCTATCTAGGATTGAAAGTATCTTCAAGCAGCTGAAGAATGACTATCCCCATAACGTTCGCAGACACTCGCACTCTCTGGTAAAGTTCAATGGAATGAAGAAATGCAGTCTTCAGGTCAAGCACGATTTGCTTGATGATTCTCCCACAAATAATCTTCAGTTCCGATGGCCTTTTTCACTCCATCGCAGTTTCCAATAACCAGCAGCAAATCAGCGAAAGCAACAGCTGAGGAATCGCGAATTTCCATTACGAGCTTTCGCAAGCGATCACATAAATAGAAACTAATTATCGAATCGAGTTCAGGTGTTCGGGTTGCAAGCAACGACAAAGAATCGATCGATGTCTTCAGCAAATGCCAAATACAAGGTGTTGTAACTTGACTGGATGGCATTTCAGCCGGTTGCAAATCGAGAAATGCTCCATACCGATGTGGAGGGTTGGCCAAGGTTGGTCAACTTCAAATTAATTAACATTTATTAAACTTCTTTGGCGATTTGCGCGGTTGCCCGATAGAGATTCACTTGAAATCTTATGAATTCCGAGGCCAATAATCAATCAAACGTTATATAACGTTACATTCGAATCAATTAAAACCGCACCAAATTGCTATAAACAATCACGTTTGTCGACTTGTTGGAAACGGTGCTTTAGTCTTTTCCGATTCGTGCGTGGAATGTCAAAGAGTCTCAATCGCAGGCAATTAAAGTGTTTTGGTGACGCGGCAATTTTTCAATAAATACTTGCAATATGAATGTTAATTAATCGGCAGGCACACAAAATGTCGCTGAATAAATTTACATAACAAACTCTTAAGACCGCGTACTTTCTCTTTTACAGCTAAAAACATATTCAACCTCGCGAAATGTCTACATAACCCATTAAGCTTGCAGAAATCCAAGAAATCGCAACTTTTTCCGGCAGTTAACACCGTCTTTTTTTCATAAATTAAACAAGAAACAAGCGAGAATACCATCAAAGCTCCAGGGTAATTGAATCAATTGAAACCGGCACAGAACCGAGAAATTTGAAAAATGGTACTCACCTGCGCCCAGCAGGAAAAAACACAGCCAAAGACTCTTGGTACCCATGCTGATGGATCGGTCACTAGCCAAGAAGTGAATTCGGTCCCGCTATATATTTATAGTGCGTCCTTTTTTTGAGTGCGCATGTGTGTATGGTTCCTTCTTCGTTGCACTTTCACTTGGTCAGCTCTTGCGATCAAATGGTTCTATGCTCTGTAGGTGCCTCTACTTATATTTTATTAATAACTTTGATTTCTTTGACAATCATGACCCAACCAGTGGTGGAGGCGGATAAACCTACTTTCTGTCTCAATCTATTATTGACGTCTCATAGAAATTCTTCATTGAAGAACAGCCGAAGCACACTTTCTGTTGCTTCAACTTTGTGGCTAAAAATGAATGGAGGAAGCATCCTAACTGAAGACCACTTCATTTGAAGTTTGCCATCCCCATATTGCTCCACAAAAATAGTGAACATCCTTAAGAATACTGGAGATATTAATACTTCAGCTACTTCTTCCGGCCAGTTGAAGATGCATCACTTTAAGCACAAATATAGGTAAATTAAAGCTGCAACAGCCTCAAAACTGTTGCTCATTTCCTAGTTTCAACCATAGTTGCAATCTTCTACTTCTTCCCCACTAGCCAAGAGCCACATGTTTTCTGATTTTGCATCATATTTTGAAGAAATCATTAATTCCCCTTCATGTTAATTGCTGCTCTTTGAAGAAACATCCACTGAAGATCATTTTATTTCGAGAAATCAATTATTTCTCTTAAAGGTTTGGACTGTTCTTCTAATCAAAAACATTCATTGAGAACATGATTTTTTCCAAATAATGTGCTTCATTGAAGAGCAACCGAATAAACCTATCTTCAGCTTCAACTTCTGGATTAAAGGGAATGAAAGGAAGCATCTTCTGAATATYACTTAGTTTGAACATCATCATTCCCATATTGWCTGACTAGCAAWATKTTCAMTAAATTGWACAGATTGATTCTTCAGCGACTTCWWCCCGCCAGTTAAAYATGCRAMATATAGAGAAATGGAAGCTTTAAAAGCCTCAAAACTATGGCTYATTTTGCATTTTCAATCATAATTYACAATCTTCTACTTCTTCCTCACTAKCCAAKCGCYACATGTCTTCTGATTTTACAGCATATTTTGAAGAAACCATTAATTCCTTTGCATGTTTATGGCTGCTCTTTGAAAAACCTTCCATGCATTGAAGAACAGCCTGGAAAAACTTTCTTCTGCTACAACTTTCTGGTTTGGAAAGAGTGAAAAAAAAACATCGTAACTGAAAAACATTTTTTTTAGAAGAAATCAATTATTTCTCTTAAGGTTTGGGACTGTTCTTCTAATGAAAAACATTCATTGAGAACATTATTTTTTTCAAATAATGTGCTTCATTGAAGAACAGCCGAATAAACCTATCTTCAGCTTCAACTTCTGGATTAAAGGGAATGAAAGGAAGCATCTTCTGAATATTACTTAGTTTGAACATCATCATTCCCATATTGTCTGACYAGCAAACTTAAAATTTTCACTAAATTGAAGATATTGATTYATCAGCTACTTCTTCCGGCCAGTTAAAGATGCGAAACCTTAAACRCAACATTAGAKAAATGGAAGCTYTAAAAGCCTCAAAACTATGGCTCATTTTGYATTTTCAATCATAATTTACAATCTTCTACTTCTWCCCCATTARCCAAGAGCAACATGTCTTCTGATTTTACAGMATATTTTGAAGAAAYCATTAATTCCYCTGCATGTTTATGGCTTATGGCTGTTCTCTGAAGAAACATTCATTGAAGAAACRCATGGGAAAACTTTCTTCTCCTCTAACTTTCTGGTTGGAAAAAGTGRAAAGAAACATCGTAACTGAWRATCATTTTATTTAGAAGAAATCGATTAATTCTCTAAAGGTTTTGGACTGTCCTTCTAATGAAAAACATCCGTTGGAAACAAAATTGTTTGCAATTAATGTGCTTCATTGAAGAACAGCAGAATAAAATTTTCTTCAGCTTCGATTTCAGGATTAAAGAGAATGCAAGAAAGCATCTTAACTGAATATTATTTAGTTTGAACATCACCATTCCCATATTGCCTGACCAGCAAACTTCAAATTTTCATAAAATTGAAGATATTGATTCTTCAGCTACTTCTTCTCCGGCCAGTTAATGATGCAAAACCTTCAACACAGCATTAGAAAAATGGTAGCTTCAAAAGCCTCAAAACTATGGCTCATTTTGCATTTGCAATCTTCTACTTCTTCCCCATTAGCCAAGAGCAACATGTCTTGACAACATGCCCTGAAGAACATCATGGGAAATCTTCCTCTAACTTTCTAGTTTGGAAAAAGTGCAAAAAACATCATAACTGAAGATAATGTTATTTTTAAGAAATCAAGTAATTCTCTTCAAGTTTTGGACTGTTCTTCTAATGAAATCATTAATTGAGAACATCATTTTTTCCAATTAATGGCTTCATTCACTAGCTAAGACCCACATGACTTCTGATTTTGCATCTTCTTTTGAAGAAATCAATAGTCCTCTACATGCTTATGGCTGCTCTTTGAAGAAACATCCATTGAAGAACAACAAAAAATTGAAAGAAACACCGTAACTGAAGATCATTTTATGAAAAAATCTTCATTTAGATATTGCTTGAGTAGCAGATTTCAAATCTTTCCTAGATGCAGTTCGGCATGAGTTTAAACATTTCGGAACATAATAAAGGCAGTCATTCTACAGCTGATTCTTCGCTTGCTTGAAGATAGATTCAATTCGAAGTCTTCAATGACTCAAATCTACGGAATGTTACTAATAAAATTGTTATGTTTGTATCTTCTAGATAAACTGGGAAACTTCTGCTTCTTCGCCACAAAAATTTCCTCAATAACTTTTTATTTAGCAGTTTATTTCGAATAAATCAATCATTCTCTTTAAGGTTTCGGACTGTTCTTCTAATGAGGAACATCCATTTAATCAATTTTGAAAACTTGATCATTTTTTCGAATGAATGTTCTTCATTGTTGAACAGCCGCATAAAATTTTCTCCACCTTCAACTTTTGGATTAAAGAAAACGAAAAGTAACATCTTAACTAAATATTACTTAGTTTAAAGATCACCATTCCCATCTGGCCAGACCAGCAAACTTCAAATTTTTACTAAATTGAAGATATTGATTCTTCAGCTGCTTCGTCCGGCCACTTGAAGATGTAACACCTAAAGCACAACTATAAACAAATGAAAGCTTCAAAAGCCTAAAAAAATTGTGCATTTTCAATATAAATTTGCAATCTTCTACTTCTTTCTCACTAGCTAAGAGCCACATGACTTCTGATATTGCATCTTCTTTTGAAGAAACCATTAATTCCTCTGCATGTGTATATGGCTGCTCTTTGAAGGAACATCCATTGAAGAATAGCCTGGGAAAACTTTCTTCTTCTCTATCTTTCTGGTTTGGAAAAAGTGATAAGCAATATCGTAACTGAAGATCATTTATTAAAAAAATCTTCATTCAGATATTGCTTGGGAAACAGATTTCAAATATTTACTTCATGCAGTTCGGTATGAGTTTAAACAGTTCGGAACATAATGAAGACATTCATTTTTCAGCTGCTCTTTCGCTTGCTTGAAGATACATTCAACTTGGCCTTCAATGACTCAAATTTACCGAACGTTACTGATAAATTGTAATTTTTGCACCTTGAAGGGAAACCAAGAAACTTAGGCTTCTTCGCCACAAGGAAATGGCTCAATATCGTTTAATTTAGCAGTTTCTTTCGAATAAATCAAAAATTTCCCTTAAGGTTTCGGACTGTTCTTCTAATGAGGAACATCCATTGAACCAATCTTGAGATCTTTATCATTTTTTCGAGTGAATGTTCTTCATTGAAGATCAGCCTAATAAAATTTTCTTCAGCTTGAACTCCTGGATTAAAGGAAATGAAAAGTAGTATCTTAACTGATACTACTTAGTTTAAAGATCACCATTCCTATATGACCAGACCAGCAAACTTTAAATTTTCACTTAATTGAAGCTATTGATTCTTCAGCTACTTCTTCCGGCCAGTTGAAGATGTAACACCTAAAGCACAACTATAGAGAAATGAAAGCTTCAAAAACCTCAAAACTTTGTGCATTTTCAATATAAATTTGCAATCTTCTACTTCTTCCTCACTAGATAAAAGTCACATGACTTTTGATTTTGCATTTATTTTGAAGAAATCATTAATTCCTCTTCATGTTTATGGCTGCTCTTTGAAGAAACATCCATTGCAGAACCGTCTGGGAAAACTGTTGTCTCCTCTAACTTTCTGGATTAGAAAAAGTTAACAGAAACATTGGAACTGAAGACCGTTTTTTCCAAAAACCTTAATTTTCAATTGTTTTTCCAATTTTTCCAAATTTCCATTTTCAATCCAAATTTCACTCAACTGAGATTTCAAATATTGCCGATAAGATATTGAAAAAGAGTTCAATACTTCAAGTTGGTAGAACTTCACTGAAGAAAGCTTCAATGGTTGAATTTTATACACCGTTTTTGCTAAGATTCGGCTTGAAACTCTGGCGTTTTGTGCATCTTCAACCTAAATTTTGAATATTCTGCTTCTTCTCCATCAACTAATATCCCCTGCGTTCTCAAGTCGTAGTTTATTTTGCAGAAATTATTATTCCACTGCACTTTTAGGGTCGTTCCATCCATTGAAGAACAGTAAGAATGCACGATCTTGTGCTTCACTTTGCTGGCTTGGAAGAAGGGAAAATATGCATCGTAACAGAAGATCATTTTGTCGGAAATTCCTCAATTACATATTGCTTGAAACGAAGATTTCGAATCTTCACTAAATGAAGTTTGGTGTGAGTTTAAACATCTCCGAACATAATGAAGATATCTGGCTTCTTCGTCAGAAGGAATTTGCTCATTATCTTCTCATTTCGCAGCTTATTTCGAAGAAAACGATCATTTCACTTCAGGTTTTGGGCTGTTCTTCCAATGAGAAACATCCGAAAGCAATAAAGACCCCAATCCATTTGCTGCTTCTTCGTTTGTTTGAAGATGGATCTAATACAAGGAAGCAATCAATCTTAATCTTTGATAGTAAAGTGGTTCAAATATAAAGAACGTTGAAACTAATGGGTTTTTCGGGTTTTTAGGCCGTCGTTGGGTAGAATTGCTTCTCGACGTTTCGCAAGCACAAGTGGCTTGCATCTCCA